TGCTTCACGCGCAATGCCGTGCGCTGCGCACGGTCGCGTGCGCGGGCTACACACACGATTACGCACAACATGCGTGGATGGTGTATTATGGGTACTCGTGACTTAACACGACTTAGTTTGATTTTTAACTTCAAACTTAGATCCGAACATTTTTAACTGTCAATAATTAATCCCGATTAAAAATGTCCGTTTATAAAATAAACGGTTCGGAAATTAATTATCGAATTTGACTCGGTTAATAATTAACCGGATAAATTTTTCGACTTAACGTCGAACTTATTTGCTAAAAATGAACGGAATTAATAAAAGATAATACATCATTATATTAACAAGAAGTTGGGTTATTACAGTTGTCTGTACTCCGGCAGGTATCCCACTGGCTAAAACGAGAGTCACAGGTGCTCCACTGCTGATACTGCTGCTCTGCCCACGTATCCCATCGGTTGTCATGGGCCCTCCTATGTTCTGCATTAATATGTACGAACTTGTTCCACTGCCTGGTTTGCTTCGCCCAACGCCTATCGTTAGACTCCACGAACGACACCCAACGTGCATCATTTCGGGCCTCATACGCAGAGAACCAAGCCGGAGTGGCCGACTGGGAAAATGCACCCGTGTGCTCGTCCATCGACGGGGGAGGCAAAATAGTGTGAGTGTGCTGAGCGGGGTGCTCTCCGGCCTCCGTAGCTGTCCCATCGTCATCATGAGAGTCCTCAGGAGCTGGACCAGATGATGTACCAACAGTCGGCTGAGACTGGTCGTCCAGCACGGGTAGACCCATCTCCCTCAAATAAACCTTGTAACACTCTCTCTCAGTAACCGGGCGTGGAGTGTTATCGTCTATGAGGAAATTGTCTCGAAAAAGGTCCTTTTGGGAAATCCAAATGGGGAGGAGTTTGGGTTTGTCGGTCTGGACCCCGAAGTGCTCGGCTAGCTTAGTCACCACATGACCCAAGTTTGGACCACGTCTCGAATCGTTGCGTACATCAAAGAGAGATTCCTTCAAATACTGCAACATACTAACTGGCTTGTTGTGCGAAATAGACCATAAAATAAATACTTGTTGCGCACTTACCCTATTAGATTCCTTCTTGCCAAAGATCATATGGGAAATGTATTTGTGAAACACCAGATGGGCTAAATCGGTGATTAACCCCGAAGACGGCCCGGATGCCTTGTATTTCTCGCATGGTGAGATAGTAGCCCAATGTGGGTCAACTCGGAAACCTTGAGGGCTGTGACGTGTAGGAATGTCGGTGTTGAATTTGTAAATTTCACACAACACTTGGTCGGTAATTTTGTATTCCGTGACCATCATTCGAGCAGTGAGGTATTTGCCATTTTCGTGACGGGCTACCATGCTAAAAAACTCAAGCGTCAAATTCCGATAAGCATGTATCGGCGTATCCTCAAATTCCTCGAGGTCGAGCAATTTTATGTAGTGAAAAAGATCATCACCGATCCCAAGCTCATCGTTGAAATAATCCCAATCGATTACACGCGGCAAGGCAAGAGGCTTGGAGGAGAGGCGTTGATAGGACTTAACTTCGTCCA